CGGCCTCCTCCTGCGCAGTCCGCGTTGTCGTGTTGCGTGCACATGTCAATGCACACGTCCGGGTCCTCGCAGTCCGTCTGCTGCACGAGCTCGATGATGCACTGGAACGTCGCGTTGCACCCGCCCGTGCACTGCTCAACAATGTCACGGCACTCCTCAAGCTCGCAGTACGAGTGCCCAAAGTCGTCGGGCCCGTGGCCGCCGTACTCCGTCGCGTTGTTGCAGTGCACGTGCCACTCGCACTCGCTCTGCGTGTTGCACGAGCCCTCGTCCTGGATGTCGTAGCACGGGTGGTACCCGATGTAGCAGTGGCCCGCCGCGTCCCACACGCATCCGTCCTCCGCCTCGCACGAGCTCTGGTTGCTGTGCTGGCAGTAGCTCAGCCACGTCGCGCAGTGCTCAGAGGCAATGCACGCCGCGTCTGCGTCGCACGCCGTGCGGTTGCCCTCGTACTGGCTGCAGTACGACGACTCCCCATAGTACGGTGCTGTGCCGTCCCCGGTGCCGTTGTAGTAGCTGCCATCCCCGGTGCCGTTGTAGTAGCTGCCGTCGTCCGTGCCGTTCACGTTCGGGTAGTACGGCGAAAGGTCGCACTCCTCCTTCCACACGCAGCCCTCAGCAGCGCCGTCGCAGCTCGCAGAGTCGCCGTAGCCGAAGCACGCGTGGCTGCTCAGGTAGCACGTGCTGGTGTTCCAGTTCCACTCGCAGTTGCTCTCGCCGAGGCAGCTCGCCGAGCTGTTGCCCTGGCACAGCGTGTAATCATCCTGTGGGAAGCAGTACCGGTTCACGCTGCACTCCGCCTCGTACTCGCACGACGCAACGTCCCGCTTCCGGCAGTCCCGCGTCGCGTAGCACCGCTTCTCGCACGTGACCAGCTCCTCAAACACGGCCTCCTCCTGCGCAGTCCGCGTCGTCGTGTTGCGGCACATGTCAATGCACACGTCCGGGTCCTCGCAGTCCGTCTGCTGCACGAGCTCGATGATGCACTGGAACGTCGCGTTGCACCCGCCCGTGCACTGCTCAACAATGTCACGGCACTCCTCAAGCTCGCAGTACGAGTGCCCAAAGTCGTCGGGCCCGTGGCCGCCGTACTCCGTCGCGTTGTTGCAGTGCACGTGCCACTCGCACTCGCTCTGCGTGTTGCACGAGCCCTCGTCCTGGATGTCGTAGCACGGGTGGTACCCGATGTAGCAGTGGCCCGCCGCGTCCCACACGCATCCGTCCTCCGCCTCGCACGAGCTCTGGTTGCTGTGCTGGCAGTAGCTCAGCCACGTCGCGCAGTGCTCAGAGGCAATGCACGCCGCGTCTGCGTCGCACGCCGTGCGGTTGCCCTCGTACTGGCTGCAGTAGCTCTGGGTCTCGTCATAACTTGCGGTGGTGTTGTCGGATTGTGCTTGCACCGTGGCTGTGCCTGCAAGCAAGGCGCACAGCGCCACAAGCATCACCGCTGAACGCCAGCAGCGTGCGTTCATGATTGTTCTTTGTTGTGAATGCGTATGTTCGTTGTTGTGCGTTGTCAGTTGTTGTGAACTTGGTGTGAACGCTGTGGTGCTGTCTCGGTTCGGAATCCTTGCGCGCAAGCGCTTCCTTGCTTCCGTCGTCGTGCTGTCGGTATCGTCTGCACTTACAGTCACCTTGCACCTTCTCTGTCTGGTACGGTGTGTGAGTGGGAGGTGTTTGAGATGGTGGTGGGTGAAGAAAATGATGGATTCCGTTGCGGATCGCCAAACTCAACACCCGATTTGTTTGGTGAAGACGGCTGTCTCCACGGGCAACACAGGTCGATATGTTGTGTGGTGGTGCTTGCTTCAGTGCGTCTTGTGGTTGTGGCGGATTTCGTTGTGGACCACGTCCATCAAAACGTGCTTGTGGTGGTGGGTGTTGTTGTTTGGAGCAAACACTACTCAGCTACTCGCTGCTGTTGTTGCTGTGTTTGTCAGCGTCCAAAGAATCCAACGGTTGGTGTGGAGCTGTTGGGTGACGCCCCAAACGCATGTTTCGAGTTGCACCCCGGCGTCGACTTGAACCCAATCCGTGTTGCAGGATTGGGATTGCCAAGGAAGAAGGTTTCATTTCACTGCGTGGTTGGTGTTTGTCGCATGGCATGTCAGCGTGTTGGGCTCAGTGTGGCAGCGGTCTGGTCCTTGCTGGTGTCACATCATGTCGGTGCCTCTTGCTTGTCTGCTCCCACAAAAAGACAGTCAGGTTTTGAATTTTCATCGCTGTCGTTGGTCAGTTTTCGACACCAACAACTGCCGGGAAATTTAAAACAACGAAAACAACAAAGCCCAGCAAGCACCGCTGGGAAGCGAGCAAGCCGTTCTTTTTCTTCCTCTGCTTCCTCTGCCATGTCGCTTGCCTTTGTTCTTGGGCGGTTTGGGTTGTTTGGTGGTGGCCGTTTCTATTGTTGGTCAGCAAGTTGGGAAGGCTGACAGGCAGGTTGGCAAAGAGAAGCAATTCGTCAGTTGGGTTGTTCGTGGTTGTGTGGCTTCACCCCATCCGTCTCTCTTCCCTTCTTGGCATGGCAAACGTGTCGAGACGACTCCCAATCCAAATCAGCGAGGCAAGCTGTTGGGTCAAATCACGGAATCCGACCAGAGTTGGTGGTATTGCAAGCTTGCCGGCAACCAGAGGACCGCCGCACAACCAAGGCAAATCAAGGATGAAGTTCATGTACAGCAAGCAACACAGGAAGGCCGGGTCAAGCTAGACTGGAATGGAATGGAATGGAGGAACACTGCATGATTGTGTGCTGGAGATGTGCCGCACCATCACGAGCACAAGTGGCAGGGAAAAGGGGGCGGTGCCGTTGCCAGGCAAGCCGTAACATAACAGCCAGCAACCAAGTGAACAAGCGAGCAAGCGAGTGAGTGAGGACTGCCTCAAGTGGTTGAGTACCGCAGCTTCTTCTCCAGCTCCTGGAATGTGGGACGGTCCTTTGGTGTTTGCGCCATGCACGCCACGGCCATGTCACGGAACCATGCTGGCGCCAACGACGATCCTGGCGAGGCCTCTGAATCGTCTGTGGCGTGTGCGCATGTGTTTTGTTTGGTGGAAGTAAGAGAGAGGGACCGGGTGGATGAGCGCACACGGAGGCATACACGCAAACAACACACACGCACACACACGCACACACACGCACGCACACGCACGCACACACACACACACACAACACACAAAACCAACACACACACACACACACACACACACACAACACACAAAACCAACACACAACACACACAACACCCCCCCCCCAACACACACGCACCTGGGAAGCGAAGGCGCTTGCCATCCTCGAGCAGCTGCTTGATGGTGGGGAACAAAGGGCCGTCAAAGGTGTCGCCGTACTCTTGGGCAATAATGTCCGGCTGCTGCTGCGTCACAATCTCCCACAGCACAACCCCAAAGCTGAACACGTCTGCCTTCTGCCCATACTCCCGCCCATACAGGGCCTCCGGTGCCATGTACATGGGCGTGCCCACGCCAGCCGTCATGCTCAGGTGCATCGTCTTCGCGCCCACAGCGCGTGAGTACTTCATCTCGGCGCGGGAGTCGGGCCGCCGCAGTGAGCGCATGCGGCCCAAGCCAGACGAGAACATGGACGGCGTGTCGTCTGTGGCCAGCATGCTGCTTGCCGTGCTGCTGTGGCGGTCGTGGCGCTGAAGACGCTCGCGGATGGACCCAAAGTCCGTGATCTTTCCGCGCAGCGCGCTCGACACCAGCACGTTGCCGCTCTTCAGGTCTCTGCACGTGGAAAAAGGGGGTGGGAGGGAAATATTGAAAGGCGCATGGAAGGGGGAGGGGGATGTGTCATTGAAAGAGAGAGGGAGGGAGGGGGGGTGATGGCGATCAGTCGTGAGTTGAAACGAAAGGATGATGTCGCGGGTGAGCAAGAGCAAGAGTACTTCACTTGTGGGAGATTCAAGAACCACCAGTTGAGAGCACAAAGTTTGGACGCGCACACATACACACACGCACACGCACGTACATACACATTCACGTACATACATTCACACACAAACACACACACACCTGTGGACTTGGTCGAGGGAGTGGATAAACGCCATGCCGCAGGCAATGTCGCCTGCCAGCCGCTGCTTCAGGTCCCACGCCGTCATCTCCACCGCAGTTGCTGTTGATGGGGTGATGCACGATGACTCATCATCGCACGGGTGGCGCGCCTCGCGCTTCTCTTGCTTGTGCGCTGCAAGCACAATACCCAAATCCTTCTCCAACAGCTCGGTCAGCGATCCGAGTGCGACATACTCCAGCACAAGGAACGGGCTGCCGTTGGGATCGGTGCCCGCCCCAAAGAACCGCACCAGGTGTGGATGCCGTGTCCGCTGCAAGAACTCAACCTCCTTCTCAAACTCCTGCATCGTCGTCTCGTCAAACAGCAACACCTCTTGCTTCATCACCTTGACCGCCACCCGCACCGTGTCCCAGCGCCCCTCCCACACGTCGCCAAACGCGCCCGTGCAGATGTGCCGCCGCATCTCCAGCTCGCCGTACTCGATCTCCCACCCCTTCTTCAGCGCCATCACCTCCGCGTCTCGCTCCACCAGCAGCTTCTCCTTGAGCGCGTTGTCCGTCTGCAGGCGTCGCTGCCGCTTGTACGTCCAGTACACAGCAAACAAGAGGCCCTGGAACGCAAACACGCCCGCCAGCGTGCCCAGCACCGCTGCTGTGATGTCGCGCGTCACGGGCTTGCAACGGCCGCCGCTGCGGGCATACCCGCGTGCACAGTCGCAGGCGTGGTAGTACGCCAATCGATACTCCTGCTGCAAGATGTCTGGGACCAGCCGCGTCCGCACGTGCGTGAGCTCGAGCTGGCACGAGATGGGCGTGCCTGTCAACTCCACAATGGGTATGTTGGCCCTGCTGTCCAGCGACACAAACTGCTGAGTCAGCACTTCGTTGCTCGAGAGGACGGTAAGGTCGAGGGTGGCGTCCTTCACCAGCTCGGGCTTGTCGAGCCAGGCGTTGTCGCTAAGGTCAAGCAGCAGCACGTTGCTGTACACAAAGCACCGTTCCAACATCGAACGCACACGCTCGCGCGATTTCATGAGGGCGTCACTTTTCCAGTTCCTCGCCACCACCACCTCGCTACCCCACTGGGAACACAGCGAGCGCACGGGGGGCACGCGCGTGCCGCTGATGTCGAGAATGTCCGCGGTTGGCAGCGCCAGCTCGTGCAGGTTGGTGCAGCCTGACACGTTGAACTGCGACACGGGCGATGTGACGCGCAGGCTCACCAACTCCGGGTTGTTCTGCAGCAGTAGCACGTCAAACACGTGGTCCGGGCACAGGTTGAGGTGCTTGTACCCGGTGTTGGTCAGCTGCAGCGTGGTGTCAAGCGGCTTCAGGAAGCGGCAAATGTCTTCGGTTCGCACGGTCGTCTCATCCATGCCCGGCCAGCCGGCGTACAGCGCCTCCACGTGCACGCGCGAATTGTCGAAGAAGAGGGGCGCAACCTCACGCACGTCCACATTGCGCACATCCAGCACGCGCAGCGGCGTTGCCAACTTGTTGCCGACGGTTGGCGCGACCTTGATCGTGGCTGGCGGCATGTCTGGGTGGGCGGCAACCTCCAGGCGCCACAGCTCCGTCAGGTCCACGACGGCATTGAGGTTGAGGTGTGGCACGCGGTGGTTGTTGAAGTAGAACTCCCTCAGGGCTGGGAACTGCAGCAAGTCGGGCAGTTGCGTGAGCTGGTTGTGGTTGAGGCGGATGGATTGAAGGCCGGGGAGGAGCGGGAACGACGGCAGCGCTGTGAGCTCGTTGTTAGCGAGGGAGATGTGGCGAAGTCGTGGCAGCCGCTCGAAGCTGCCCGCAGGGAGGGAGCGCAGCCTGTTGTTGCTGATGTCGATGATGCGAAGACTGTCCTGGTCGCGTAGCACCTGGGCAGGGATGCTGGTGAGCATGTTCTGCTGCAGGCTCAGATGGTCGAGGCGCGGCAGCAGTGTCGGGAGTTCAGGGGAGATGTCGGTCAGCTCATTCTGCACGACCCACAGCTTCGTCAGGTTGGGGGCGCCGGCACCAAACCAGGCCGCATCAAGGAAGGGGATGTTGTTCTGTGACAGCTCGAGAAAGTCGAGGTTGTTGAGGCCTGCGAACGTGTTGGCGGGGATGGTGTGGACGCGGCCGCGCTCCATGTTGACAGTCTCAAGCAAGCGGTTGTTGGAGAAGAGGGTGGCGGGGAGAGCGGTGACTTGCAGGAAACGCATGCGGATGGAACGCAGCTGCCGTAAAGGCGCCAAGAGTTGCGGGTGAAGCTCGGTGAGTGGTAGGCCACCAATGTTCAGCTGCCGCAGGCGTGAGAGGCCCACGAACATGTCATCGGGCAGCTGTTCCACGTCGTTGCCCTGCAGTCGCAGGAATTCAAGCGTGGTCAGGTCTCTGAATGACCTGGATGCGATTGTGGTAATGCTGTTGAAGGCGAGATCGAGGAAGCGGATGCTGGGGAGATGCCCAAACAGGCTGCTGTCCACACGTGTCAGCTGGTTACTGTGAAACGAGAGAACCTCCAACGCCTGCAGGCCGGCGAAGGTGCCTTGGTCCACAATCTCAATGTGACTGTTGTTGAGGAAGAGGTGGGTCAGCTGGGCGGCGCGAGCCAAGGGCGGGTGCGTGTTGCCGTTGGGACCGCGTTGCGAGAGGTGGACGATCGTGCTGTTGGCGAAAGCGATGGTGGTCACGTTGCTGAGTGGGTTGAAGATGCTGAGGTGCAGATGGTTGGTGACCACACCGCGAACGTTTATGGTGCTGACGCTCTCCCAGTTGGCGTTCTCCAATACCCAGGACAAGGTGCCCAAGGTGAAGTTGGCGCCGTGCACGGTGAAGGTGCGTGGTCGCACCGTGAGCGAGAGCTGCAAAAGTCCAGCAGCTGCGCTTGCCCGCGTGGCGTTTGTCATGTCCACAAACATGTTCACGTCGACGAGGAGCGAGAGGGGTGAGCCAGGAGGGAGGGTGTGGACTGGTCGTGGGCAAGTACCCTCGGTGATGAGAGTTGACAGCCGACAAGGCACCTCATCCAACAGGCTGTTATCGTTGGTCGCCTGCAGCGAAGACAGAGCGCCACTCGTGTCGCTACGCCGCTCACGTCGCTGTTGCTGCTGTTGCCATTGCTGCTGCGGTTGCTGTTGCTGCTGCAGCGGACTGGTGTGCGTGTCTTGGATGACAAGGGGCGTGGATGAAGGGCAGAGATGGTCCAAGGCCTTCTGCAGCGCGGCTGCAGTTGCCACTGCCTCCTGCAAGTGGTGTTGCAGCCGCTTGGCGGAGGCGTTGGTGCCGTGCGCAAGTTCTTCGTCCATGGCTGCGGAAAGTTGTTGTGTGAGTGTGTGGTGGGCAGCACGCACGTCCGAGCACGCCGCCTGTTCACGCCCAACATGCCCAAACAAGACAGGCTGATTTTCCACAACCGCTTCGGATGTCGCCGCATCCTTAGCAGCAGCGGTGGCGGCGGCGGCGCAGCAGGGCACAGACAGGAAGAGTGTCACCAGAACAACTACAGCCACCGCCAACAGCTGGCGGCAGTTGATGTGCGCCTTCTTGTTGTGCATCATCATCATCAGGCATGTGTCTGTGGAATAATGTTGGAAAACATTCGAGAAACGTCTACATGATGGTGATGCTGCTGCTGGTGTTGTTTGGTTGCAGCTCTTCTTCATCATCAGTTCATCTGATGTATTCATGGCTTGGCGGCTCCCCCCCGGCCTTTGCCATTGCCTTGGTTGCTGTTTACTGGTTGTTTTGTTACCTTACACATGAAGTGATGAGCACGGAAGCCACAGGAGCACGAACGTTGCAGACAGACGACGCAGAGCGGAAGCAGAGTGTGGCTGTCTGTGGTTGTTATGACGTGACGGAGACGTAGAGGTCAGCCACGGCGCGATAGATGTTCTGAGGAGCGTAGCTGTCACTGCAGGCGCACGTGTGTGTGTGTGTATATTGAGAGGGGGTTTAGAAACGTGGTGAGGAACGGTGAGAGGCAAGGTGCGAGGGAAGCAGAGTTGTGGCAAGCACAGTAGTGGCAGACTGACTTTGTGTCATAGGTGTGCATGTGCGCACTTCTGGCACACATGCGCATCTGACGTACGTGTTTGTGATGATGATGTTGACGAGGCTTGGAGGGATGTAGTCGTACAACGGGTTGATCATGTGTGCGTCCCGAACCATGGCGCCTGTGTGTGTGTGTGTGTGTGTGTGTGTGTGTGTGTGTGTGTGTGTGTGTGTGTGTGTGTGTGTGTGTGTGTGTGTGTGTGTGTGTGTGTGTGTGTGTGTGTG